GGAATCTAGTGTTTCAGGTAAATTACTTGTGTTCCTGGAACACAGTATCTTTTAATCCTCATCCTTGCAAGGGAAATTTTCCGAGTAGAACCACTGGATTTGAACAGAATATATAGCGGCTACTGTAGCAAACCCCTGAGCCAAGCAGTCGAGTGAAATCAGCAGAAGCCTTCTGTGCGCACGTGTGTGTGCATGTTGAACTCAGTACATTTGGAATGGAGACCTGAATATCTACCAGATTTTATTTATTTTTTTTTTAGATGAGATCTTGCTAAAACTATCAAGGCTAATTTCAATGAAAGTTTGTGGGGAGAATATTAATTAAAAAAAAAAAAAAGAAAAAAAAGAAAAAGAATATTCTCCCTCTTTTTTCCCAGTCATTTCTATTTTAAATGTAAAATGTGTGAGTTAGTTTTTGGATGTATCCCAAAGAATCATCTTTCCTAAAATCTAAGGGCTGTCTGTTTGCACAGTGATGTGATAACAGTGGGCAAAATATTTTCCTCTCTTCCTGAATTTTTCTACAGTTTATCATGTCACGTTTTTGTTGCTTTCGTAATGCAAAAAAACCTTGTCTGAGCCATTTTGATACATTCCTCCTCTTTGTCACATCCGTCCTCTCAATATGCCTGAACTTCCCAATGCTTACTCATCCCTAATCCTCTCTCTTATTCTTGTGGCCTGCCATTTGCTTTTCTGCTGGGCCGTATTCTTTTGCGCTCTCTCTCCCCCCCTGCCCCCCAAATGTCGACTTTCCAAAATCTTATTTTGCAAAACTTTCCATCTGTTTTGGATGGGATGTAGAAACTACAGATGATCAGGAAAAAGAAAAGATTAGTGATTCATCATAATCACTTACTCACACGCAGTCCATTAAGTAAAGGAAATACTAAGGCACAGTTTTGGTACCAGAAAAGAATTTTCAAGATTCATTGTTGATTTTCTTATCTGCCAAGACTGCAGGGAAACCACTTATTTTTCTATCTGGTAATTCTTCAGATGCCAGAATAAGAAGGAAAAAGGAAAAACACAGAATGGGGAAAGGAAAAAAAAAAAGTAATGCTTCAAGGCAGGAAATTAAAAATACTCCTCTCTGCCAGGAGCATTTCAGAAAGTTGTTTTTGTTGTGAGGGGGTTATTGGTTTTTTTTGATGGTGGAAGTAATTAACTTTTTAGTGACTCTCAAAACTACCAATTAAACAATGAACTCATGTCGGGTAGAATTCTAAGTACAAAGAACCACACTACCATTTTAAAGAAAATTTTAATTAAAAAGTACCCCAAAAGCCAAAAGAACTAATCAGTTTGAAACATTGTGGAGTTACAATTTACTGTTGTACTGACATTGATGCTATAAACATGAGTTTGATAATATTGAAAAGTTCTGACTAATCTGAGCACTGTAGCTACTCTTTATCTAAAGACACTCAAGCTTCCAGGAACTCTGTTGGGTTGGAGCATTCCAGGGAAAGGAGTGGCCTTGGCACCAGCGAGGACAAGAGGACAGTCCCGATAGCGCCCGAAGGTGTTAGCGGCTCTGCTGGAGGCAGTGCTGCTTTCTGTGTTGTCTTAACCTTTGAGGCATGTGAAGTCTAACATTTCTTACAAAGTTAGTAATTACAACTATTTTGGATCTTATTTTTAGCTGTGTAAGAATTCAGTTGCTTTTTAGTCCGACTGCTTATTGGCCCAAAGTGGTTTCCATCTGCAATGAGTCCCAGGGTATGTGGTGTGTAGAAAACCCGATCCATTGGATAGTTCTTACTCGTCTCCCTTCCAATCCCATAATTTCTTTCTTTAGTCTGCCACTTCCCTGCAGGTGAAAAACCATCCCACCAGAAAGATGATACAAATAGTTAATATGGCAGGAGATGGGCTTACCAGAAGCCACTCTAGTGGTATGAAATATGACAAGGGGCTGTTGACTGAAGACGCTGATGAAGATTAAGAAAGAATTGAGACTCTGCATTAGATGTTAGTTGTGTTGTCCGATCTCTTGCTCTCTGCTTTCTAAGACAAGCAGATTAAATCTGCTTTTTCATGTTAGGCTTTTCCCAAACCCTGCAGATGAGTAACCAGTCAGGGATGTGACATCCCATGTGAGGAATCTCTATTGTTTTCTATGATGTTACTGTAACACCTTTTGTATTGACATCTCATATTTTATAACATCTGGGTTTTATTTTTCATGTATCACATTATGCAAAAGTCGCAATGAATTGTGAATAAACCTTACTCCTTATCTTGTAGTGACCCAGCTGCTAAAGCCTGATATTATACATGCAAATCTATCAGATTCATGCAAAAATGCATGTATATATAAAAATACATAGATACAGGTGCATGTGTGTAAACATCAGTTGCTTAAGGGATAAATCCTATGAAGTTCTAATACATTAGTCTTCCCTCAGCAAAGTGCTAATCTCACACTTTACTATCAATGTATGTATTAACTATTGAAAGGTAAGCCTGGCTTAAATTGATGTCTCATTGGAGCCCAAGTGCTCAGTTTCCTGCAGGGTGGAATATTTAATTGCATGGATCGTGGCAGCAATTATATAAATGAGGTCAATATGAAAGAGATTATATTCTTTTTTTTAAAGATTTAAATAATAGCACAAGTTTTATTTAAGAAAAAAATAATTTCAAGAAGCAAGCTAAAGCCTGTTGTCTGGGTCAAAATAACGTGTGGAAGCCAGTTGTGATGATTTTGTGTTCCTCTGTGCTCTCCTACGAGAGCAGCAGGAACCCAGGAGGTACGAGACTGTTTACACTCTTTTCAAGGCTGCAGGCATGCTGTTAGGGGATGCGTCTCACCAGCTTTCTGCAGTCGATGGCTTTGTTCTTTTATTCTGATGAGGCACTAAATACATGTTTCAAATGTTTATGTTAACTAGATAGGTGCTTGCTTTGGTGCTTTTGTGTTTATCAGTAAATCTTAAAAAGGATGTTGGGATTTTGTTACTTGTGTATTAGTAAGTCTGATTAGTATATAATCTAATGTGATTACAAATTTTCAAAAGTATTTCTGTCTAAAAGTTACACATTACTGTTTAGTTTAAGGATATTTTGGAACTTGAATCCCTGTGTGACTTTGAGGAAGACAATTAACCCAGCTGGGCTGATGGCAACTTTGTGCATTGCAAATAAGCTTTATCAGGTTAAGACGGTTTCCTATGACTTCCTGACACTTTGTGTTTGAGATACATACCGGTTTTCTTGAAGAGCACCGTGTGTGTAAGGCAGCAATGCTTTCTCTCTATGCAAATCACAGCTGATAGACGATCGGCAGAAGAACTTTCAGGGGTGCGTTCATAGCTGCGAACTGCACTGCGTGGACAGAAAAGATCTGTCTGTCCTGATAAATATTCCGTGACATAACTGCCCACCTAGACATGCTGGGAACACCCAGGATCACCGAGACCCTGACATCATTTGGGATGTAAATATTCCAAGATGTGCTCTCAATTTTTTTTTTTTTAATTAATCCCAACAGAGACAGAATAGATCTTTATTTTGAGACTTTTATGTTTAAAATCATAAAAGCCCAGTGCTGA